GTCTAGGAAGGCTGAAAATTTGAAAGAAATCATGTCCCAATATGTCAGTGAAGCCTAAAAGTAGCAAGGGACCTTGGAAAAAAATTAATACTTGCCTCGACGCGAGTAATAACATAACTACAGCAAATATTGCGAGACCACATACAAGTATGCACCTATTTACAGTTGTATCCCCCAAATAGCATTTCCAAACAAAAAGTGGAACTATACCCACAGCTACCAAAGTCTGTAAGAGTTTCAAACGTGCTATAAAACTTCCAAGATGGATCTCCGTGAAGCGATAAACAGCAACCCTAAAATATACGTCATTAAAACAGACTTCAAAAGCCTTACTTCTACACATGTGATCTGGGCATACTTAGAACTTCTACAGTCTTTGTTACTGTTTTCCACTGCAACAATTTCTGGGGTTGCAAAACTAAGTATATCCAACAAACTAATCCGTTAAAGTTCTTACAGTTTCCTTTCTCAGCAAAATCTATAAACCATAGTAAAACTTTAAAAACGTTTAAAACAAGAGTCTAGCAATGAGACCATTTAGGGTTCCCAGAAGTAACGATTTGCGACTTTACATGGGAAGAAAAACGACAAGATTTCCCCTGAAAAATGCGATATAAGCAACTGCTGCCAACAGCAGGAGTTTTAGCTGTAAAGAAACTCCTGAAAACCCCCTTTGATAACGGACACAAGCCGCTAAAAGATCGCAATAGTTGAGACTTCCAAACAACATCTATCAACTTAACATTTGTCGACATTGCGGCCGAGTAAGGGCAATGTAATACACAGTATCTAAACAAGAGTTGATTAATTTGACACAATTTAAAAACGCGTGCATCGCTCGTCACATAACAAACACCCGACGAGCAAATCGCCAGCGCACAGTAGGACTTCAGTTCGATCATAATGAAAAATTATTCAAGAAGCAAAACTTCCAGACCATGGATCCTAACGAGTGTCATTCGTGCAACCATAACTTGTGCATCCCAATAATTTACTCAAAAAAAAGCAAGCAAATTAATGGTGCGTGATGTTTAACATTTTAGCACAAAGAGAACGGTCAGCATTTACAGAAAATTGGAAAAAGAATTATCACGACTGAGGAAACAGTAATAAACTAAAATAGAATGAACAAGCAGAGAAAAAAATTTAACAAAACGCATGATAACAGCATAAAAATCAAAGCCAGTGGTTAACTAAACGTCTACATAAATAAGAGCTAATCTACGCTACCTATATTTCCTTTTAGAATAGCGGTTTTGATGAGATTTACCATTTCAAACAGAAAAAACAGTGGAAGAAAATGATTAAATAATAGCGCTCGGTGTAAACACAGCAAATTCAACTTTGTAATTATCAGTAGGCAATACTCAATCCCATCAACAAGGATCCCAAAAAATCCTTTATAGAACAAATCGATCTAAATACAACAAAAAACAAGCAATAGCTCATCAAAAGAAATTCCGTAAATATTTAGAAAACATTCGTATCCACAGCGGAATTCTATGATCAGGGCGCAAAAATGTCGAACCATCCACTAATGAACTATGTTCAAAGAGGCGTTTATGTTCCTAAAAAACTATTTTTATGATGCCAATCAAAACTTGGAGGTATTCCCAAGTAAAAAGACTGTTGAAGTCAAACATGTCAGACCAATTCGTAACCCATCACACCAAAATTAACAACTAATAAAAGTATTCCAGAATTAACGCACAAAAATGCCAATTATTCAAAAATTTCACCTGTTTTAGTCGAGATCTTAGGTCCTCATTATTGGTGACAATCAAAACCTGTGCCTCGAGATCACGTCCGAGTGATCGATACCCTAGAAACTAAGCAACTTGACGATGTAAACTCATATCTGCTCTAAGATAAGTCAGAGAGTTTAGTTAGAAAGCGTTCCGTCGCTATCTTGTCCTGTTAAAAATTAGTGATAGAAAACTCAAAATTTATACTGGTCAATGTTGTAAAACAATCAGTGAAATTTTTTATGACTATATCTGCTTACATAATCAGACTTTTCCGGTTCCAGATAATAGCCGAACAGAAAACAGCAAAAAAGTCATTGATATAACTGCGTCTTACCATAATTAGACGAGCCAACAAGAGTTGCAACAATGTTTGAACTAGCTGATTCTATCCAAAGACCTTTGCCGTGAAATGACCATGAAGGTCTTGAATACTCAAACAAGCGCACCTTATCTCTCGCAGAACAAAAAAACTGTCTTGATAAATTGACATACATAGCAGGAATATATCCAGACATCCCAGAACCCTCATGAAAACCATTTGCCTAAACGAAATAAAATCTGAATAAACGAAGTACAACAAGCAAAAATTTGCCATTAAAAAAATGTTCTGTAAGGTAAAAAAAGAATCAATAGTAACGAACAAAAATCAAAAATGAAATCCCTGTCCAAACCTGCGGAGAGGCAAAAACAATGTCCATCGAATAAGTTCCAAAGTTAGAGATCAACTTGATATAATCTTCAACAAAATTGAGGTATCCTGATGCAATAGTTATTTTTACAGTACAATCCTGCAAAATTCATTAACGATTCAAATCCAGAAAAACTAATGGTAAACATCACAGATCACTAGTCATCAAAAAACACAATTTTGAAAAATTTACCTTCAAAGAAAAAAGGTGGATAAGGAAATCATGTTCTTGATTGATTCCGAAAACTCCCATTTGTAGAAGAGGATAAACACGAGTACACTCAGAATCAAAATTTATATTTTCTTCTACTGGCAAAGAATTCAAGTGTTGGAATAAACGATTGTGTGCCATTTCCCAGTATTTGATAGCAGAACCTAAGCAGCGTTACGAAAAATTAAAAAATTAATAATATATTTTTTAGGTTTACTACCTTCTGCAGGATGTACAGTACAGTTGTCATGCAAGGCCAAATTTCCATCAGGTTTCAGTTGAAAAGAACATGAAGATATTATTTGAATAAGTTTCTCTAAAAAATCAGCCAGCTCCTTGCAATGTTCAAACAAAATATATCTGTCCTGACGGTTTGTGAAGTACGTTTCAGAAAGGTTGGCTCTAAAAAAGTAAATATAAGAAGTAAAATAAGTAAATAAAGTCGCATAGAAACTGCTTTTTAACAGACAACGAAGGTTAAACCACATAAAGATGGTACACAGAACTTACCCACTTATAATAACACTATCATCAAAGATATATAACTTCATGTGTTGTAATCCAATAATTTCATTTGACCTTTCTGGAAGAAGTTTTCTTAACCATCCTCTTAACATTGGAGTATGAAACAAGTAAATCGAGGCTCTCGGTAATAGCCTTAAAATATCAGAAATAACGAATTTTTACCAAGTGCTGTGAAAAAAGTCATACTAAACTGCAAAACGCTTAAATCAAAATTTCAAGTTCCTTGCAAACCTTTTCAGAATGGCTAAAACAGGAAAAACTTCATAATTTACTGGTGAAAACCTAAAAGTACCTTTTTAATAAATTCAGAGAACTTTTTATTCCTCCTCTCGTCCCTCGAAAATAATCGATAAGAACTGTTACTTCTAAACCTTCTTGCCGTTTCAGTGCCCCACTTAATTCATTAATCTGAAATAAGGATTAAAATACCCCACTGTGGCAAATTTACACAGATAAACAATATTTAATTAGTAAGGAATTTAATTTTGTAAACAGATGAAGCAAACTCTTACTTTCCAACATTTCAAAAAGTCAAGTAATTCAGGAATATTAATCAGACAAGCTATTACTAGCGAGGTAGACTACGTACAGCATATAATGAAGGTATAATTTGAAACTTCTAAAGAACAAAAAATATGACAAAAAATCACAAAAGCCTGTTCAAGTCGGCCCTCACCAATATAGAGAGTTGATAGCGCAATTCTTTTCTTTGCCGTCTTTGTTAACCTCTGTAATAAAAGAAGATCAAAGAGATATCCTAAAACAACAGCAACATTTCAAAAATGTTGGTTAAAAAAAGATGTAGAAAAGGTATCTTTAGATACTTATTTCTTGACGCGATATCTAGGTCTCCTAAGCTCAAAATATGGCACAATTGCCATATGAGTATAGACGCGATAAGAGCGGAAGAAAACCTCAGTATTTAAAATCCTCTAACTAGAAAAAATTCTCCCATAGTGTAATCTTTTAACGTAAATCTTCAATTGAAACAAAAAAGACGTTTACCATAAGTTGTTCATAAAACTCCTGCGGTGTCCCAATAATATGCACCGAGTCCGGAGAAATAACCACAGATCCTCGAGAGGATAATGAAGCTAAAATCTCATGCATCCTCTTCACCTAAATAAGAAAGAAATATGATGAGCTTTGATGAAACTTTGGCAAACGATGAACACATCAGACTAATGCAGCCTACGCACTAAAGTGACTCCTTGCACCATTTTAAACAACAGTTTCCTCTTAAAGATACTCACTAAGACGAATATCTTCGTAGTAAAGTGATACTACCACCAATCATTTATTTTACGCACTGCTTTTATCAGTAGCCTGTACCAAGGAGGCTCTTAACTGGCGAAATTCCAACGATCTATCACTCGTTTTCAAATTTCTGATGAAAAGGCATGCGAAAAGCTCCTCGACGAAGGTACCATACGTCATGTCCTAGACCTGCCATTTCTTCTACATTTGTTACCGTCAACATCTGTTGATAGATGGTTGCTGCCAACTCGTTTTTAATAAATCTGACCAGTTGTCCAAAGTACTTTTCAAGAATTTTTAGCCCTCAACCTGTGGATACGCAATTCTGACTTTTGTATGAATCTGAACTAGCTGACGGCTGTCATTACAATTACAAATAAAAAACCTTGTTTCTTTTTTAATTCCAGCCTTATTTTTTGAACTGAAGACTAATATCCTGACTTGCACCATAAAACTCTAGAGCAAAAATTTTTTTTCGTAGCCATATTTCAAGAACCGAACAATCATTTTAAGCATAAAGCCGTAATTGTCGAATCACGACGGTAAAGGCTTAAGCTTTGTTATTTTAACATTTCTAATAACGTCTTCCTTAGTTTATCCCATTCCAGAAAATTGTGCACTTTCTTTTCAGTCTAGTCTAGTGATCTCTTTAGTCAGCTCCTTCTTAATATAACATCGTTGTTCGGGGATGTACACAGCAAAAAGTTGTAAAAAACTTCTATTTCATGTTTTTTTATTCAATTTTTTACAACTGGCAGCAACTTTTCAAGAATTTGCGTCTGCGTTTTCCGACTCTGTACTTTTGAACATCTTTGGTGTTCTGTGGCTAGTTGACGCTAATCACAAGTAGCCTTCATATAATCCATGAAGTTGTCCATTTTGCCCATTCAGGTCTTCTAGAAATGTTTCTTCTGCTACTCAGGAGAAAGGTTCTCCTTCACGCTTCTGCGACTTCACATTTTCTGCCTCATCTCATACACATGTATCGCACACTAAATGAAGATCCCTAATAAAAACGGCTTTCAAGTTTGGCTGGAAGTCGATTAAGTGAAAGCTGTAAAAGTTGGGGCAGACAGTCGATTAGTAAGCCCAGCCAAACAAGAAGTGAGAGGGAGTTAGTGCCGGAGCCATGGTGCTTTAGGCCAACCTGACTCCGTCATACGTCTACATATACGATATTTATGGCTCAGGCGACCAGTTATGCAATTTTCGTCCTTCAATTTTGTTTTTTGCCTCATTTTTTATAATAATAACTTGCTCAAGTATATGACCAATAACTTTAATATCTTCACTCAACGGGAATTCAGTATCCTAAAATGTTAAGAAGTGAGTTAGGATATTTAGAAAAGAAAACGTTTTTAAAAAATACTGCTTTGCTTAAAGCGACTGATTTAAAACTTTGAACAGGTCAATACCTTTCGGTAAGATTTGAAAAATGTACTTCTGGGGAGCAAGATTTGTTTGATCGCTCTCGCTTAATTATAAACAGATTTTCACTGCTGAACGACAATACGGATAACCTCGGTAAGCTTATCACTTAGTGGGATACGTCGGTAAGCACTAAATAATTGGAGGATAACACTAAAAAACGAAGTAACAAAAGAAAAAATTAAATGAAGGCTAGCAGTAAGGCACAAATGACGTACGGCACAATAAGTTGTAGGATAAAGGACAGATAAGGTACTCTTCGACATTGAAACTGTGCCAAAAAAGTAGGACCTGCAAAAATTTTTTCCCCTGTGGTACCGAGTAAGATTTATGTTACTCAGCGCTTCCTGTACCGTTCTGAAGTCATTGTCAAGAGGTTGTCTGAAGGCAACTGTTTACTTGTATGATATGTATGAGAATGAACGTGTCTCTTCGCCTT